CCACAGTCACTGGGGTGTTCTGGGGGTCCCTGCCCCATTGGCTCTGGGGCTGTTCTGATCCCCCCGTGCCCACCTGTCCCGCAGGTGCTGAGCCGGGCACTGGGGTGCTCTGGGGTGCCCAGGGGGGGTGGTGTCCCTGACCCCCCCGTGCCCACCTGTCCCGCAGGTGCTGAGCTGGGCACTGGGGTGCTCTGGGGTGCCCAGGGGGGTGGCACCGCTGATCCCCCCGTGCCCACCTGTCCCTCAGGTGCTGAGCTGGGCACAGCAGCAGGGCGAGCGGCTCCGGGCTCAGGCGGCCGCGCTGGCGGCCGAGCGCGAGGAGAGCTCGCGGCTCCTGGAGTGGATCCGCGCGGCCGAGGAGGCGCTGGGGCTGCGGGACCTGGAGCCGCTGCCGGAGGACGTGGAGCAGCTGGAGGAGCTCAGTGCGCAGCACGCGGTGAGGGACCCCAAAAACGGATCACCCTGGGGACCCCAAAAACGGATCACCCTGGGGACCCCAAAAACGGCTCTGCCCGGGACCCCAAAAACGGCTCTGCCCGGGACCCCAAAAAAGGATCACCCTGGGGACCCCAAAAACGTCTCTGCCCGGGACCCCAAAAACGGATCTCCCTGGGGACCCCAAAAACGCATCTCCCTGGGACCCCAAAAACGGATCTCCCGGGGACCCCAAACTCGGCTCTGCCCGGAACCCCCAAACCTGGATCTCCCTGGGACCCCAAACCTACTCGGGACCCCAAACCTGGCTGTGCCCGGGACCCCTAAAACAGATCTCCCTGGGACCCCAAAAACGGCTGTCCCTGGGGACTGTGGGGCACGGGGGGGTCTATGGGGCACACAGAGGGGTCTATGGGGCACAGGGGGGTCTATGGGACACAGGGGTGTCTATGGGGCACACAGAGGGGTCTATGGGGCACACAGAGGAGTCTATGGGGCACACAGAGGAGTCTATGGGACACAGGGGGGTCTGTGGGGCACAGAGGGGTCTATGGGGCACAGGGGTGTCTATGGGGCACAGAGGGGTCTATGGGGCACACAGGGGTCTATGGGGCACACAGAGGGGTCTGTGGGACACAGGGGTGTCTATGGGGCACAGAGGGGTCTATGGGGCACACAGGGGGGTCTATGGGGCACACAGNCAGGTGTTCCTGGAGGAGCTGAACCGCAAACAGCCCGACGTGGACAAGGTGACCAAGAGCTGCAGGAGGAAACTCGCCGTGGGTCTGGGCCCCCCGGGCACTCGCCCGCTGGCCACACGTAAGGATCCCCCTGGACCCCCTGCCCCACTGAGCCCCCCCTGGGCCCCCCCCTGACTCCCCCCTCTCTCCGCAGGTTCCCGCAGTGGGGGGAAGGCTCAGGGCTCGGTGCCCCTGGTGGGGCTGGAGCCCCAGACCCCGCTCATGGCCGAGCTCCTGCAGCGCTGGCAGCAGCTCTGGCTGCTCGCCCTGGACCGCCAGTACCGGCTGGAGACGGCGCTGCAGCGCCTGCGGGAGGTCCGGGGG